TTTGGTTTTTTTTTTTTGGTTTTACAGTAAAGATGAGGCATTGGTGGTTCTGTGGTAGAATTTCTTCTCTCCATGCAGGAGACCTGGGTTCAATTCCCGGCCAGGGGACCTCATGCACAGCCACCACTTGTCTGTCAGTTACTGTGGTGGAGGCTTGCACGATGCTGTGATAACGAACAGGTTTCAGTGGAGCTTCCAGACTTAGACGGACTAGGAAGAAAAGTCTGATGATCTACTTCTAAAAATCAGCCAGTGAAAACGTATGGATCACAAAGGCCGAAGCACAACTGATCACGGGGATGGTGCAGGATCAAGGAGCATTCTGTTGCGTTGTACATGGGGTTGCCGTGAGTTAGGGCTGACGTGACAGCAGCTAACAACAACATGGGAAGTATGCACACCACTGTCGCAAGATCATGGCGGCCTTGTTAAATAGATGCTGAGTGCACCTTCATTCACTGGGCCCCTTGTTCAAACGTATCATAGGTGGATAGAAACACAAAGGAATGCCGGTTTAGGTTTCCAGACTGGGGGACAGCCCACCTGCCAGCTCTACACATCACTGCAAAGCAGGCCTTCCTTTCCAGTAAAATAGCTTAACACCATTGATCATCCAAGGAGCCTCGGTGGCACAACGGTTAAATGCTTGGCTGCTAACCAAAAGGCTGGCAGTTTGAACCCACCCAGTGGCTCTGTGGGAGAAAGACCGGGTGATCTGCCCCCATAAAGATTACAGCCTCGAAAATGCTATGGGGCAGTTCTACTCTGTCACATGGGGTTGCTATGAGCCAGAATTGACTCGAGGGTACCTAACAACATTGATCATCCACTTATGGATTACCTGCTCCAAACTTTCTCTGTAGTAAACCTGAAAGGCCAAGGTGACTTTCTGCCACTGAAAAAATTCCCAGGCCATCTCCCGTGTGGCTGGAAGGTATGCATTAGGGAAGGCAGGTATGTTCTACTACTAGCTGAGGTGGACAAGCGGGGTGGGGAGAGTTAAACAGAAATCTAGGGGAAAAAAAAGGCCAAGGCAAACAATTGACTTTGGCATATATTCATGCTGTTCCCTTCTCCAGGCACGCACTGAGTGAGTGTTGACTACTCAGAATAATTCATTGAGGATGTCGACGCTTAAGGAAGATCTAAGCCTGATCTTAAGCGGGTTTAGAAGAGAGGCAAGCATTAGAATACACTAATACTACTGTAACACTTATTAAGCATTTATAAAATAGGTAGCTTGGGTGGTGCATACAGTGAAGCGCTCGACTACGCGCTGAAAGGCTGCCAGTTGAACTTACCCAGAAGCGCCCTGGAAGACAAACGTGGTGATCTACTTCTGAAAGGTCTGCAAACCCTCTGGAGCAGCTCTGCTCTGCACACATGGGGTCGCCGCGAGTGGTAATCAGCCGGAGGACAACTGACAACGACCACAACAGGGATTATGCTAAGTGCTTTACATCTTTAGTACCTAACTGACTTCAGAAGCCTGAAGAAGAGCTGACGCCTTTGAATGGTGGTGTTGGTGAAGAACACTGAGTACGCCGTGGACTGCCCAAAGAATGAACAAATCTGTCTTGGAAGAAATACATCCAGAATGCTCCTTAGAAGCAAGGATGGTGAAATTATGTCCCATATACTTTGGACTTGTTATCAGGAGGGACCAGTCCCTGGAGAAAGATATTATACTTGGTAAAGTAGAGGGTCAGCAAAGGAGAGGAAGACCCTCAACGAGACGGACTGACAGTGGCTACAACAATGGGCTCAAGCATAACAACGATTGTGAGGATGGTGCAGGACCAGGCAGTGTTTCGTTCTGTCGTACATGGGGTCGTTATGAGTCGGAACCAACTTGATGGCACCCAACAACAACAAGTGACTCTTGTGAGGCACCCATTAATTTTGCCTCCACTTTACAGATGAGGAAACAAAGACAGAGAGCAGTTAACTGTCCAAGGGCACACAGGTGCAGGAGGTGGGGATAGGAACCAAGCCTGCTTGGCTCTGCGAGCATTCCAGGAGGGGGCGTGCCAGATGGGGCCAACGTCTGCACAGGCACGCACTTGAGTGCAAGTTAGCTAAAGGGGAGGAGGCTGAGTAGATTAAGCAGACACGAAAAACACCAACCCACTGCCGTTGAGTCGATTCCGACTCACAGAGAACCGACAGGACAAAATAGAACTGCCCCATAGGGTTTCCAAGGCTGTACTCTTTATGGAAGCAGACTGTCTGCCACATTTCTCCCACAGAGTGTCGGTGGGTTCGAACCAATGACCTTTCAGCTAGCAGCTGAGCACTTAACCACTGTGCCACCAGGGATCCCTGTTCCGAGACCACTGGCCATGTACTCCAGGCTGAATTGTGAAGTGTCTGTGAGCACCGAGGGGCAGGAACTGTGAGAATCAGTGAACCGCTGGGGGGGCCTGGGTAGGGGTGGGAGGGGCGCAAGGAGAGGCGTCCAAGGGTGTAAGGAAAACCTCGGCAGTGGGGTCTACACAGGACATTTCACTTGCAGACACCAGGGTCATTTTAATCCCTGACGGCACTGAAAGGAAAGGGCAGCCAGACACAGTGGGCGTGCCAAGGAAGCAGAGAACGTCAACAGGAACACCGAATGAAAAGCTACCATGTCTCACCAGGCAAGGATTGATTTGACTGCCTGGCTAATTCTTCAGAAAAGACAAATATACACAGTTCTATTTTCCCCACATGTACCACTTTTTTTAAAGTGGAAAAATCTTAAAATGAAAATGCTTCTGGAATCACCTTTCCTGATGACTGCTGTTGTGTGCTGTCGAGTCAATTCCAACTCATGGTGACCCCATGTGACAGAGGAGAACGCTAAGCCGATTTGCCACTTGGGCTCCTTTTCCTATTACGACCACCTTGCAAAGCAGTCAGCAGTAGCCACGGAGTTTGTGTTATTGCTTCTTAATCGTTGCACCTTGTAAGAAGCATGGTGGTATAACAGGGAGTTGATTCTCCAGGCAGGTATGTGGGCGGCATCATCACCTCTCAGCCCTGGGATGTGGAGCCTGCCTCTGCAGGTGCAAATAGCTCCTGGCCCAGGGGTACATCCCCTGAGCCAGGTTACTCTGAGGAGGCTGAAGTCCTTGTCTTTTCTTCTCTTTCTTCCACACTCATTGCTTTCTCTGTCTGCTACTGAAAACCTGTCAACTAAGTAAGGAGGGTTACGCTAGGTTGTAAGCATGAATGTTGCAACCAGCTTAAGAAAGGCTAAGTAAATAGCCTGTTTCCTCTTCCTCTTTCTCAAAAGGACTGACAAACGTTCTGAGCCCCACAGAACGCTGGAGAAACACCTAGTTCCCTCTTCTGAAATAACGAAATGAAGAAGATCGAGGGTAGGTATTGTGTCTCATTCACCTCTGCAGCCCAGGCTGGGCACGAAGTAGGCGTTCGAGTCATCTTTGCTGAATGAATTGAACAAATGCAAAATCGTGTCACCCATACTATCCAGGTAGAAAGGAGCAAGTCGTTTTGAACCATTTCCTGATGTTTGGTCGGGGAGGAGGGGAGAGTTTAGAAAGGGCGGAGACAATGATATACTTCATTTAGTCATTTGAAAATAGAGCAGGGGAGAGTATAACGACAATTCTGTGGCCAGTGGGTTTTTACTGGATAACCAGTTAATACAAAGAAGCCAGCACGTCAAAATCTTTTCATTAATCAAAGACAGAATAGACAAAGGAAGATTCATCCTTGAGTGTAGAGTATTACACAAATAATGCATCTAAATTAAATTATTTATGACTATCACAAATAAAGGAATACTGTTTGGGTAACCCTGTTACTCCCAAACGGTTTCACATTCATAGAAAAACAGCTTCAGACAAGCCCCATGGTGTATACAGTGGTGTAAAATGACCTGGAGAAGTGGTTTCTATGGATATCGTTTAGAGATCATATCCCTGAGTACCTTCAGGGTGGTGGTACTTGGGCTCTTTTCTCCAAGCCATCATGCACAGGTCCTCTTGCCCAGGTTTTGTTTATGGAAGAGCTACCCTGGCCACTGGTCATTTTGTGCAGGAGATAATTAATTGCCAGCTCCGTGAGCACAGGTAGAATAATGAGCGTGCACGTAATACCAGATCAGAATTTTCTTAGAATTTTTAAAATTTCAAACCATTAGGGATCTGTATTATCGGCCAGTCTTTTATTCAAAGCAAGTACAAAGGCTGGTGGTGAAACAGAGGAGACTTTGTTTTTAAACTGCTCAGAAAATACAAGGCAGTATCACCTGCAGGCCTAATTTTAATTTGATTCTAGCTCCAGCCCCACTGTGGCTCGGAGGTTGTCCTTTTGAAAGATCATATTGCTAACATATTTAAGTAGGTCAGAAATGGAACTTCAGAAGCCATAATATTCTGCTATTCTAGTCAACGATTCGGGTCAGAATCTCACTTGTTTACATTTCAGAAAAGCATGTTATTTGTACTGTAACGATCATGAGGATTTAAAAAAAATTCAAATATTAAATAGCATTCTGAACACCACTCACATGGGCAGGGAGAGATCAAATAAATACATTTGCAGATACCTCTATATACAAAAAGGATGCCTCTCAGGTTGGGGACAATCAGGTACTTTTTTCCCTCAAACAATACCCCAATGAAACAATTACAAGTACTCTGAAGCCTGCCACACCCCTTCGAAAAAATGGCACTTCCCAAAATATTGTGATAGAGCCTGAACAAATCCAATAAAAGGCAGGCAGGCAGTGCAGCCCGAAACGCCTGCTGTTGCTCCCCCGAGTCTGAAGGGCAGTCTAACTTGACAATTTCACGGAACGAAATCGGCTGTCAATTCCGTGCAGACTTTACACTGAATGCGAGCTGGGTCCATCTCTGATGTTTCGAATTCTCCTAGCAGATGGAAGCAAGAAACTTAGCTCACAGACATTAGCCGCACAGTGGAGACCTTATTTCTCCAACCTTATGCAACATCCAACCAACAAACAAAGGTTATTTTCTGTTACTCACTGTTGCTCCAGGATTTCAGTAAATATTTGATGCTGATTTCAAAGAAGCCTGAGTCCTGCTGGCTGGCCATGTCTGCAGCATACAAAGAGGCTTGAGGAGTGGGCCTGGGAGGAGCAGGTAGGGCGCGGAGAGGTGCCTGTCACCGGTTGGTGATGTAAGCGGGAGGTCAGGGGCGCAGGAAGGCTGCAGATCCACGGCTGGCGCCGGCAGGGAGTCCTCATTTAAAGGGCTGTGCAGAGCGGAGATGCTCGGCCGCTCCTCCTCGGGTCCAGGGCTTGCTTCTTATTTGCTCTGCAGCTTCAGAGGCGGTGGCGGCCTTCATTCCGGGGCTGCCATGAGCTGGAATGCTTGCAGGCAGCCTCCCCCAGGCTCCGGGCAGCCAGGTGCAGTCCCTGGCGGCCCCGCCTGCACTGGGCTCCGAGTTCTCCCGGGAGGAGGGCTTCCTGGCTGGCCGCCTTGACCGAGTGCACACAGCGCCCTGCCCACGGCTCGGCGCGCGCGCGCGGGACCCGGGGGCGGAGGGTGGGTGGCAGCGCCGCCCCTCCCCTGCCCACCCTCACCCTGAGCCGCCCCTGGGCCTGTCTCCCTGCTGGAGGAGAAATGCCACAGCTCCCGAGGATCCTCGCCCTTGCGCACGGCGCCCAGCGCACATCCTCCGTGCGCTCCGGCTCCGCTTCCCCTTGGGTCTGTCCCTGGAACGCACACAACTGCACCACGCTGCGGCGCGCACGGCTGTGCCCCGCGGCCGGCGCGGTGACGTTCGCCAAAGCGCTAGCCCGGCAGCCGCGCTGCAGCAGGAAGGCTCGGGAACAACAAGACGTTCACCCGGCCTCTTCCTCCCCCTACTCTCATGGGCACAGTTGAATCTTCATTTTGAGCTTCTCCTTCCCAGGAACGCAGTCAGTTATTTGCAGAGACACCACAGCCCGAAGGTGTGCATCCTAAGAGGGCTTGCTTCCGCAATGCCGGGGATCCACAGTGGATCTGTGTCCAAAACCTCTCAGTTCTAACCATCTCTGAGCCCAATAGAGCTTATTTTATTTATTTCAAAATGATAAGCGGTAAAAGCATTAGACTGCTTGATGTGCAATGTCTTTTTATTCAGGAATTCTCGATATCAGGTTTCCTGATTTTGGCTAGCTCTGTTTCCCACTACTATTTAGCTTCGCTAGGGGGTTAAACAGGAGTCCTCCCTGGTGGCGCAAGGTTAAGAGCTCAGTAAGGTTGGTGGTTTGAGGCCACCCAGTGGTACCATGGAAGAAAGGCCTGACAATCTGTTTCCATAAAGATTATAGCCAAGAAAACCCTATGGGGTAGTTCTACTCTCTCACATGGGGTCTCTATGAATTGGAATTGACTTGAGGGCATCCAACAACAAAAAAAAACTAAACCAAACCCACTGCCATTGAGTCGATTCCAACTCATAGTAACCCTGTAGGACAGAGAACTGCCTCATACGGTTTCCAAGGCTGTAATCTTTACAGAAGCAGACTGCCACATCTTTCTCCCACGGAGTGGCTGGTGGGCTCGAACCACTGGCCTTTTGGTTAGCGGCTGAACACGTTAACCATTGCACCACCGGGTTCCTTCAACAATGACAACAGCCGGGGTTAAATACGAGTATTGTATTTTAATGACAGGCTATGTTTGTGTGGGTGGATTTAGTCAACCACCTCATAAACCGTGCCCACCCCCGCCACAGTGCTTTTATCACCTACTTTTCTGCAAGAATTTATACACCATGTGAATAATTATTTAACAGAACAAATGTTGGGCCAAACCTCCATATCAACACACAAATAGGACTTTCTAGATTAAACAAAAAAAAGAAGACCACTGCTGTCGAGTGGATTCAGTGACCCTGGAGGACAGAGCAGAACTGCCCCACAGGGTTTCCAAGGCTGTAGTCTTTATGGAAGCAGACTGCCACATCTTTCTCCCGAGTGGCAGCTGGTGGGTTTGAACTGCCGACCTTTTGGTTGGCAGCTGAGCACTTTAACCACTGAGCCCCCAGGACTCCTCTTCCCAGATTAGTAGCTCATTGAAGAAATGGGAGGCAAAAAGCACAATATACTTTTTTTTTTAAGACTAAGAATTTAAAAAATTCAATACCAAAGAGAATTCTTTTAGGGTTATGTCTTGAAATGCCCTAGGACGCTTAATCAATAATGAACTTTTCAAGCTCTTTAAACTTACACAAAAGGCAAGCAGTGAAGTAATGTGTCTCTACTTCCACTTACAGCACTTTATTCTCAGGAAGTTCCCAGTCACGGTGACTTCTCGTTTACTCACACACCTACTAGAGTTAATCAGTGAATTTCATTTTGTCACCTGTACTTTGAGTACATGAATTCTAGGGAAACAGGACCTAAAGTTTTTACCTCGAATCGGTTGTTACATCTACAAACAAAAGCTAATGCTTATCCCTGCCGGTCTGACCCTCTCCGCCTGCTGGTGAAGGTTCAAGGAATCTACAGGGCGCCAGCTCATGCCATGGAATGAAGGAGTGTGCAGGCTCTCACTGCAAACCCCCCAGGTTCCACCTGGCACCAACCCTTAGGACCTATGAAACCTAGGGCCAGTTATCAACCTTGCTAAGCCTTAGTTTCCTCATCTGTAAAATGGGGATACTAGTGGTACTGGTCTCGCAGGGTTGCTATGAGTCCACATTGACTCAGCAGCACATGATGACAACATGGCACTCGTGGCAAAATGGGGTCCCCGGGTGGCGTACACAGTAAACGTGCTCGGCTGCTGACTGCAAGGTTGGCGGTTTGAGTCCGCCCAGAGGCACCCTGGAAGAAAGGCCTGGCAATCTACTTCTGAAAAAGAATCCTACGGAGAACAGTTCTACTCTGACACACATGGGGTTGCCAGAGTTCGAATCGACTCGACAGCAACTGGCTGAAGTGGTACCTACCTCACAGGGGTGCTGGAAAGATTAAGTTATGGATGTAAAGTTCTCAGCATAGCGTCTTACGGGGCTGTTAGTTGTCGTCATCAGGTGCTGAGCGGGCTCCCACTTGTGGTTACCCCAGGTACAACAGAACCAAACACTGCCCTGTCCTGCACCATCTTCACGACAGTTGGTGTGCTCGAGTCCATCGCTGCGGCTGCTGTGTATTTTGAGTGCCTTCCAGCCTAGGGGGCTCACCTTCCAGCACTATATCTGACAATATTCTGTTGTGATCCATAGGGTTTTCACTGGCTAATTTTTTGGAAATAGATCACCAGGCCTTTCTTCCTAGTCTGGAAGCTCTGCTGAAACCTGTTCACCATGGGTGGCCCTGCTGGTATTTGAAATACCAGTGGCATAGCTTCCAGCATCACAGCAACACACAAGCCAACACCGCATGACATACTGGCAGACAGGACACGGGTCTGACACTAGTACATAGTTAGAGTAAATTTTAGCTATATTGATTTGTATTATCATGAGCTCTTAGAGACTCCAGGATGGAATAGTTGCTTTTTGTCAGCTACATACACGTTTATGTAACTTAGAAGGTATACTACTTTTGAATAACAATGGTACCTATTTGAGGGTAGCAAGTTGGAGATGTTTAAAAGCAACTGTGATAAGTCAACATGCTATCCTGTTTTGTTACTCACACAAAAGTTCCCTGTGCTGATTTTATAAAAAGAGATTTTAACTGGCTTTTAAAAGGTTTTCACTGTACAAATACTAATTTTCTGAGAGTGCTCCTGCTTATATACATTTCAAGAGGAAACAATCACAACATTTTAAATGCTGTTCAGAAAAGAATGTTTTTAATGTTGTCCCTGTGAAGAATGAATCAGCAACTAGGAGTCCAATGTCTGTCTGCTAGAACCTGAAATTGTGTCTGGTATAAGCCTTCATCTCATTCAAGGACCTTGAAAGAGAGCACAGGATTGTAAAAGAACAGAACAGGCCCTTTGTTCTGCTGAAAAGCCTGCAAATCAAATAGGGTGACACTTGCTGCAAGGTGGGATGGAACGTTTATCCTTTGTCTCCTCTTTTTCTGCACTTCTCTGTCTCTCTGCCTCAGTCTCTTTCCCACGTACGGAGTTATAAGAAAACGTGGCCAGAGCAGGCACCTGGACAGAGATCCTTAAAACACAACTCTACAAGCTGACTTTACCCTTGGCTTGCTCTGTGACTTCAGTTAAGTCACTTAAGATGATCAGACACCATAGCTGCTTTCCTGCCTATAAAAAATGGAAACTTCATTAAAAATCTTAGGAGAACATAAGGAGACTCTTGAAGCCAAGAGGGCCGAGGAAAAGGTAACGGTAATACAGGAAACATGTGCGGCCTCAGGAAATAGGTCTCAAAGTGTAGGGGAGAAGCCAGAAAGTGACTTAAGACAGGTGGTGACGATTAAGGACAACATCCACACTTACTGAGTATTAGTACTGGGCTAAAACATATATATTATCATATTTAATCCTCACCACAAACCTATGAAGTAAGTACTATTAATAGCCCCATTTTATAGATGAGAAAATTGAGGCTAAAAGCAGCATAAAAGAAGGTCAAAGACACATTAAAAAAAAAAAAAATGCCATCCAGTCGATTCTCACTCATAATGACGCTGCAGGACAGAGTAGAACTGCCCCATAGGGTTTCCAAGGCTGTAACCTTTACGGGAGCAGAGCACCAGGTCTTTTTCCTACGGAGCCACTGGGTGGGTTCAAACCACCAACATTTCAGTTAGCAGCCAAGCGTTTAGCCACTGCACCACCAGGGCTCCTTCAAAGTCACATAGCTGGTAAGATTTAGGTCTAGCAAATCCTACTGCCTGACTCATTTATCCTTTTTTTAATTACAAGCAAGGTGAGAATTAGGGTCACCAACTTCTTCACAGAAAGTTCAGGAAGAGATGCTATTGTTGTGTGCTGTAGAGTCAATTTGATTCATCGTGACCCTGCAGAACAGGGTAGAACTGCCCCATAGGGCTTCCAAGGCTGTAATCTTCACGGGAGCAGGTTGCCAGGTCTTTCTACTGCGAAGCCAATGAGTGGGTTCAAACCGCCAACCTTTCCATTAGCAGCTGAGTGCTTAACCACTGAGCCACTAGGGGGCCCTTCAGAGTTGCTCAGACTCTATGAACAGTAGGAGAGCTTCAGGACTCCCTGGTCCTCCCCTACCCACCATCCCCTGCCAGCTTTATTCTTGGGGAGAAACTGTTTCCTGGGAGGCTGTAGCCCGATCCCAAAAGAACCTAGAGAAGAATGCCACTGTGTTTCACAGAATTTGATGGACAGAGTCATTCCTCCAACAAACACTTCGTGTGTGCCTACTATGCACAAGGCATGGTATTCGATGTTGGGATAAAATGATAATCAGGACAAGGATGGTCTGAGCCTTCCAAAGCATAGACAGGCAGAGGCAGAGACAGAGCCAGCACAGGCCAATAAAACAACCCATTGGGATACGCAGACTTAAGGCAGTCCTGACTTACGT